AACCGCTTCTTGGTGTCTTTGAGCAGAAGATCTCTGGTTTTGGTTGCCCATCGATGGTCTCTTTGCAGGAGTTATGTCACGCAGATCCAATGCACTGTCTGTTACCGTCCCACCGTTGCTCAAGCATGAGAGTGTACAGTTCCTTCAGCAGTTTTCCTTCGTGTTGCTAATTGGGTGTGATTTGTTTTGCAAGAGTTTTCCCGAGGAGCTGATGCTGTTTGAGGAAGGTGCTGCTCTGCTGGCACTGGCAGTGGGATTGGTGTTGCCAAGACAGGAGATGGCGTAGAGCAGGCAGGGAGAAATTCAGATATCGATTTTACCCTTTGTGACTGACTTTGGGTGTGTAAGTGAAGCTGTATATTTGCTGCAGCTGTTACGGGAATAACTGCTGCTGATTTCCTATCAAAAGCTGTTACAGATAGGGGAAAAAAGCAGCAAACCCCCTGCAGTCTCTGGCGAAAGCGCAGATGCTGTGTTTTAGAGGCACCAGAGGATATTGGTGTCTAAAGCAGTCTGTGACACTGACCCTTGGGTCAGCAAACCTCACCAGAACCTCAGCACCTCTGGTCAGGAGCAGCTGAGCTGTGTTTGAAGGTGACCTGTAAAAAAAGGCCCCAGAAGGCTGTGTTCCTTACAGCTGTGTGCTGCCAGTGTCTGTCCTGGGCTGCAGGATCCTGGAGCAGGGTGGTGGAAGTGGGAACAAACCTCCCTGTGGCTTTGCTGCTCTGCTCCTTACTGCTTCACCTGGGGATGGGGATGCTGCAGCACGGGTTTAATTGGTAACCTGGGTCCTCCTGTCAGATCTGGTGACAGGAGAAGAAAAGCCAGGGATTTGCTGACTGGGAGAAGCAATGAGGCAGGGCTGTTTTTTAAGCAAACCCTCCAATTTCGTGTGTTTTGTGCACTGGAGATAAGTGGAGTCGTGGTAAGTCTTTGTCTTGTCCGTTACTGCTTTCTCCTTTGGATGTAACTTCAAAGTTCATGGGCTCTCTTGTGGCTCTCCAGTGGCTTCTGGGAGCAATTTAAAGGACAATTAAAAAGCAGCCCAGAGAGGAAGCATCCCCTGGGCTGGTGGCGCGGCCGTCGTGCCGCAGCACAGCTCGTTCTGGTTTTACTGCATCTCAATGGGCTCGGGTCAAAGTCTGCGCTTACGCATCCCCAGCCAGGTGCTGCCGCAGTAAATAATGTGGCTGGGGAGGAAAAAGTCCTGGAGTATTTCAACGTCTTCGCAGTCTTGTGTGTGCGGGGCCGCTTGGTGGGAGGTGAGCGCTGGGCTGCCTGGGGAAACCTGTCTGCAGGAGATGTGACACCAAGCAGGCTCTGCTTAAATAGCAGGACTTTAGCACCAGCCCTTGGCTCGCGTGTGAGTGGGGCCGGAGCACCCCCAAGTAATTCCTGCAGCCGTGGGGTGAGCTGACCTCTGATTAAGCAGCGTCTAACAAGGGTTCAGGACCATGAGTGGTCAGGCTGTGGCGTGGGAGCCCTGGTGCTAATGCTTTGCTCATAAACCCAGAGGCCCGTGGCAAATATAACGATATTAATGGGGATGCTGGGGCGCTAGCAAAGTGTTTGCAGCTATTTCTTGCTGCTGGGCTTATGGACTATAAAGCCTGAGTGTGGGTTTTATGGTGTAGTAAAAAGAAACACTTCTGCTTGTAAAAGAATGAGGCTCGAGTAAATCTCTGGTGAAATGAAGCCAGTGAAAAGGATCTCGGTGATCCTGGGCCTTTGTGAAGAGCATTGATTCTGTTGGCGATTAGTTAAAGTGATCTGAGATTTTGGTAGCTAAAGAATCTCTTCAGGTAGCCTGGTGTGATTTCTGCTGGTGTGTAGACGTTGTTCTCTGGAGGTGGTGGTGTGTTGTGCTTTCCTGGGGAAAATGTTTCCTCTTGGTCACTCTGGGTTGTTTTATAAGGATTTGTTAGCTGTGGGAAGAGGCCGAAGTTGGACCAGGAGCTCAGACCCAGTGCTGTCAGCTTTGCTCCTGGGAACGTCCCCTCCTGCTCCACAGCCCCGTCCCCTCGGTCTGGTGAGCTCGCATGAACCTGTGCATCCCTCTGCGAACACCGCTTTAAGTAAAGGGGAATGTGTTTGTAAACTGCAGCGTGCCCAGCCTCTGGCAGTGATTTCACTCGGTCTGGAAGCTGTGTCTGGTGCAGGCAGAGGCATCGGGATTGCTGTCTCTGCTTTACACCCCAAATGCCCCCAGACACGAGAGCTCTTCCTGGTGGCTTTTCCCAATGGGATTGGTGCGGCCTCCCCACTCTGGGCTCTGTGAGGGTCTCAGGCTCTGCACAAGCGAGCCCTGATCACAGAGCGATCCTGGCATTGCTGCTGCCACCAGAGAGAGAGAGAAATTGAGAGTCACTTCAATTCCGCTTTCCATTACGAACGAGGAAATAATTCTGTCTGCTGAAAGGACGCTTGTTTTTAAAGGGACTGACTCAGAAATTACTTTTCGGAAGTACTACTTGTAGCAAATAGCATCTTCTAGATGATCAGAGCTGATGTATTTTAATTGCAGCTTTGCTTTGTGCTGCTCGGCCAGCCTGGTCCAGGGGGATGGAGGATGTGCTGGGTGGGCTCATGGACTCGGCTGTGGGTGCAGACTGGGTCATGGGAGGCAAAAGAGGGGGAAGGAAAGGTGCAGCAGAAGTAAAGACATTCTGGGTGCTTCTCTGGTTGTGCAGATTGCTTTTACCATCTCTTTTTTTAATCCATTAAATCCAATTGGAAATTGATGTTCTGTGGGGTTCTGGAGAGTTGAGGGGTGGAAAAATCAGCATTTACTTTAGAGCTTTTGTCTGAGAGGTCGCTGTGACAGCAGCGTCTCATGAGGGGAATTTGCTCCTGCTTTAGCACAGGCGGTTCTGAAGCCTCATCTTCTGGCAAAATGCAGGACAGCTGCTAAGTTCTTGTTTGCTAGGTTAGTAGTATTCATGCTAAAAGTACGCTCTGCGGGTTGACCTTCGTGCACAGCAGTGAGAAAAGAGCGTTGGTGCACCCCGAGCATCTGCGGTGAAATTGGGCAGACGTCGGAGCGCAGCGAGACCGGAGACCTGGGCGTGCTCTGACCCGCGAGGGGATTCACTCGCTGCTCAGCATGGCCATCGACGCACCTGTGGAGCATGTGTTCACGAAAGGAGGGATATTTGTGGGGAGTTGCTTGTCATGAGTTTGCAGAGAAGTGCAGCACCTTGACAAGGAAATTCCTCAGGCTG